AATATAGTACACCAACTAATAATATTTTATATTATCAAATCTAGGTGAGTTTTAACTACTCTAGTAGGTTTAGGTTGTAGATGAATCAGAATTTCTAGTTTAGATAAGTCTGAGTTTCATTCTTGTAAAATTTTGTAAATTGGTTCTGGCCAGAGAAACCCATAGTAGATTCTCAATACAAAATATTAATAAAAATAAAGGCAAAACTTGACCTTAAAAAAAAAAAAAAAAAAAAAAACAATATTACAATTAATTAAATAAAGCAAATAAAAAAATCACAAAAAAATAACAATTAATTAAATTTATAAATCAAATTAATTATACAAATTCCATTTACAATATATAAGTGCTTTTTTTGTAAAGAAGTTTAATTGAATTTTAATAAAGATAAAGACATGGCCTCACCTTTGAAGATTAAAAAAAATATATATATGAGTGCTGCAAAGCAAAAACCTGTAACGGGACATTATGATTTACTATAATCGGTTACAGGTTTAAAAAATAAATTCTAATAAAATTTTTTTATACTATTTTTATATTTTATATAAAATTCTATTATAATTGGGATCATATAAAAATAATACACTTTCAAATTTCGTTGTCCGCAGTAAATTAACTATAATCTCTAAGTTTATATCTTAATGTCACAAGTTGTATGTACAACCATTATGCTGTATGTACGTACGTACGTACGTACGTACGTACGTACGTATGTACATATTTCTTCTTATCAGTTAGTACGTAAGACATCTTTAAACAACATATGACACAAACAACTATATGGTAAAAATCTTTTCGTGTGGTAAATAAGAGATTGTCGAACGATAACGATGAGAAAAAAAATTTTAAATTCCTGAAATTCACGATTCCAAATCAAAATATTGATTGTTTTAGGGTTAGCAATTCAGTGTAATCAATTAGATTAAGTAGACATATTTTTAATTGGAACTTGGTCCCATTTAATTTCAATCGGACTATCGCTATGTCCAATTGTCCAATTACAGTATTTAATCATCCAATTGAATATAGGATATAACCTGTCAAGATTTAAATCACTGGAATTCTTTATTGTTCGTTATCTGGATTCTGATAAAATAGGCAAGAACAAAAATTCAAAGCCATAAAAATTAGTATAACGATAAAGTATATATAACGGTAAATTGTGAGATTTCAAGTTTTTATGATATAATTCAGAAAAAAAAGTTTCGATAAAGCCGATGAAGAAAATCATACTAAAAAAGTTCATGCTATGGATAATATTAATATGGTAAAGTGATCTACTTAAACTTTAATAAAAAGTAAATTTTATTGTTGAACGCGAGGACTCTTCCCACTAATCGCCAGACGCGTTGAAGTGACCCGGACCTTTTATGTAACGATAAGAATTAACGAGCAATTTTATTGAATCACAAAATAATTATACCAAATTAGGCATGTTATTTGATTAGTTAATTTTGTTGGTCTGGACCCCAACATGGGGGAAAACTGAAACAAAAGTGAATATTTTAAATTAGTTTAGCTAAACTAGGCAAATAGGCACTGTGGATGTTCGGAACTAAAAAATTTATTATGATAGTTATCCAAGTATAAAAATAGAAGAAAAGGCTAGCAATAGTGATCAAGTAAATCTGAATTAAAAATAGTAAGGACAAACACAAAATCAGGTCTACGTATTACACTCCGGTCTATTACACACCACTAAGTCTTTAGCTACGTTAGTTAAAAAAAAGAATAAAGACTTATCATAATTAATTATGAGTGGTGGCAATGAAATCGAACGATACACCCAGTAAAAGAAAGGGAGATGTTTCACAGCATCTTTAAAAGGAAGAATTTTACTCAAACAAGCATGAGAAAATTTTATTTTTGTCTATTCCAAATTTGGATTTGATGACACTAAGGTTTTTAATTAAATGTTGTACATTTATTTTGGCTAACAAGTACGTATCATTCTCAGGTTGACAGGTTAACCGTCATTATTACGATGCATACCGCGCAATATTATCCTGCATCATATAAAATAGAGGGGTTGGTTCCCACCATCCCACTCATCAAAAACAATATCGATATAAATTCTTTTCACGACTTGCGAGATCAAACAATTTGTTCATACCAAAAAATAAAAAACAATGACTTCTAACACTGTTGTCGATAACATCTTGTCTCGTGACGCTTACCTTGCTGCCTACAAATCTAAGAACGGTGAAGATTTTGTAAATTATCGGGAACATGTTCTCTCAGAACTCATACGCCCATACAAACGCCGTCTCTTTCCTACTCAGCTTTATGCTCTTCGTGAACGATTTGAAGTTTCTCTCCAAGAACTTGTCGATGCCACGCCATGTGATACCGAAGTTTTAGAACGTGACTTTGAAGGACATCCCGCGCTCACTCTCGAAGAGCAACGAGATTTGGTACAACGAGCTCATTTTGAAAACGCATTTGAAAGATTAAGGGAAAATGTTCTATGGGTAGTAAAGAGTACTAAATATTTGCCAGCTGTTGCTAATATGTGACACATCAAAAAAAACGAGACGATTTTTACTAAAAAAAACCATCAAAATATATCATTAAAAATAGACATCATTCATTAAAAATTCATTATAGACGATCCTTTTCTTATAGCGCTCTGTAATACATATCTTATTGTAAATATTTTTTTTTCTTTTTTTTACATTGAGATATTCGCAGGTTCTTTTTTTACATTTGTTAAACATTAAGCATTACCTATCTGTCACCATGCGTGGATTTACTGCTTCGCCAATTCGTTTTCGTTTTATCTTTTTTAATTGAAAATAAATTATTGGTTAAAAGTTATAATCATCGTGTAACAATGCTTTTTCTTTACGTCCGTAGATACATATATATTTGATATCGGTATGTACGCACGCGTGTAACGCTCGCACAACTTTTATGAGTCATAATAACGTAACAGTATCAGGAGTATCAGGAGTGGGGAAAAACAAACAACGGAAAATTTTCCATAATCGCATTTCTAACGCCCATTACCTATCTCCCTATATAAGGATTCAGTTCTAATAATTCCCTCAACTTATGTCAATTTATAGCTTACGCCGGCATTTTTGTATCGCATTTACTCGTGTTAAACTAACTACTTATTCGTTAAGATTTACAAGAATGTCAACCATCGATAAATCAGGAGAATCATTGATTTCAAAAAAGATGAATGAGATGGAAAATAAAGACGAAGAGAATGGTGAAACACGATCAGAAGCAAAGCCACCATGGGCTGAAGCACATAGAGTTGCTGTTCAGGTAATGAATGGATTTTGATAATATCTATATTGTAAATTTATGTATAATTCTCATTTGAACACCGAGTTTTATTAGAATAATCAAAACACCTATACAGATCCAGAAACTTCATACATAGTAATGACTGAACTATTTCATAAACAAAGAGGCTATTGCTGTGGAAATAATTGTAGGCATTGCCCTTATGATCATGTGAATGTTAAAAAAAAGGTTATGGAAAAGTAAAAATTAATGAAAATTGTAAAAAAATTTTTTTTTCAAAAATTTTCGATTAAACAAAATCTTGTCAAGTATACAAGTATGAGGTTGTAAAAATACAAGATATGATTGCATTCTGTGCAAAATACAAGTTGTAATCCAGATTAAAACAATCTACAAACAATAAAAAAAAAAAAATAAAAAAAAAAAATAAATAAAAAAATAAAAAAAAAAATTCATAAAAATCTTCATTATACCAAAAATTCTCATTTAATATGACTTGTGTTTGAAACGAACTAAAAAAAACACATGCACACCATGTGCATCAAATTAATTGTACTATCCAAAATCATGTGAAACAAAATCACTATGAAAACCACAAGTAAATGAAAACCACAAGTGGAACGAAAATCACAAGTAAAACGAGAAGAAAAAAAACAAATAAGCATCATTTTCAAAAGCGAAAAAATAATAGTATTTCTTTTTCCTGGTAAAGTGTGCAACATAGTGTACTTCAACTATGTGGATAAAATATGGACAAAAAAAAAAAAAAAAAAAAAAAAAATAGATATATATGTTTATATATATTTATTTATGTAATCTGAATATATTTAAGGGTATGCTTGGTCTTTCATGTGACATCATAACGCTAACAATCGATCACTATTCCTAGTTAAAAGTGACGTGTTTGGCAATATTGTGCTGGTGATATGCTAAACAACTTTTATTATTTTCACTTTTAATAGCTGCCCACTTTCTTTTGGCCCTATCAATCTCACCATTAGACAAAACATCATTTGTTCCGGTAATAGAAACACCGTTCAGTGCACGGACCAAATTGATAAACAGACGCTTCTCCTCTTCGGTAATAGCCCATTTGTTACTGTCTACATCCTTGTCATACGGTTTTTGCCAGCCTAATTGACGAAGAAAATTTTCTTCTCGTTCAAGGGAGGCTGCGTTTGGTGACGTTGACAATGATTCATCAACCGGACAAGATTCAACCGTGGTCACATCAGTCGATGTTTCCAATTTATCGGTTGTGATTTGTAAATTATCTTTACCCCCTTCTGTATTATCCTCATCTTCTTCATCCTCCTCCTCCTCTTCTTCAATGTGATCTCGACCGTTTTGTGAGTAATATTCTTTGCGGTCATTTGAGTTTCTTTCTTCATCATCTGACACCATTTTGGAATGTCCAATTTTTCCCATTGTACTCCAATCGAACTTGGAACTTCCACCAATGCTCAATTTCCTGCCGGTTAACGTTTGTCCATTACCGATAAGTGACGTCTTTTTTATTCCGTTTGGTGTTGCCACGTGTGACCCTTGCGTATGAATACCGTTGACATTTTTAGCGCCTACGGATTCTTTCAAGTTAAGTCTAAGGTGTTGCGTCTGGCCTAGTGTTCGATTACTAATATTACCGATTCCAATTCCAATAGTCGGTCCTCTTGCAACGCTATCCATTGACAATGACCGACTAGTCTTGCGTTTTACGGAACCTTTGATGGCGCGTTTTCCATCTAATTTCCCGCTCTCAACCTTAGGCACTAATGACATTCTCCGTTCCAACTCAGGTTCATGGTCCATGATTTGATTATGTATCGTGTCTTCGGCTATAGGTAATGAAGTTGGTGAGAGCAATTTTGATTTTGTATCTGAATTCTCTAAATATAATAATCAAATTTATTAGTACAAATTAATATTACAATTTTTTCTGAAATTATTTGACAGTTATGATTAACGCCAAAAAAGAAAAAAAAAAAAATACACACTCCACATATTATTATCAACATTGCTCGCCGGAAGATCAACTGATAAAGGAAATTGTTTCTTTTTCGCCAATGTGGGCTACATAAAGTTGAAATAATAATAAATTATTATTTTTGGTTAGCAAAATAATAATTATAATTATACAATTATCATCATTATACAGATTGAGGCTTCACTCACAAAATTACGATCAAAGCTTGTTGGAGAAGACGAAATAGTAGATCCTGTTTGAGATGCCGAGCGTGATCGCCCATGAAACCCTTTCATCACCGTCTATATATAAATCAATTAATTAATAATTTGTTTTTTTTTTACATGTTTGATTCTCATTTTTATTATATAGTTATTATATAGATATAGATATAGATATTGATATAGTCACCTCAATTCCATCCATTTCTCCTGAGGCCGTTGAACGTGAACTCGCTTTTGGTCGAATAGGTGCCGATGGCGAAGTACCAATAGCCGATGCTCGAGAAAAGCTAGTGATAGAAGAATTGCCATCTGATATAGTATTTTTACACAATTTCACAATTTATGTGGAAAGCAAAAATCAAAAAATATGAGATGTGGACCGTTTCTTATGTCATTCCAAAAAAGGAAAGCCTGATTCACAACCTAAAATTTTTTTTTTTGAAACTGGTTCAACCACTAACAAATTCTTTCCTAAAAATTTGTTTGACCTTATCACTTGGAATATTTCGGTTCTCACCTTTCTCCTGACCATCCTTAACTTGCTTAATACCACCAAGCCCATCTTTCTTTAATGTTCCTAATCCTTTGCTTTCTTCTTTTGCTGATGGACATTCAGTTGTTGATGCATATGCGGGACTCAACACCGTTGAAGATGATCCTGTTTTATTATTATTATTTAAATTCACTAACCAACTTGGGGCGAAGATATATGATGATGCTGAGGTCGCCCTCCTTGGTCGAGATGTTGCTTTTGTTGGCATAGAAGACGTCAAAGGTTTAGGATTTGTATTCACTTGCGTTGTACCATTTGGTGTTGTTGCAGACTTTGAATTGGCTGGATTAGAAGGCATGGTATATTGCAGAGTTGTATGGGGAGGCATGGTATGGTTTTAGGGCTTTGAGACTATTTATTCGTTACTTTATTACTATGATTATTATTTTCTGTCACAGACTATCTCTCTGCCCGGTGTGGGATCCGACGTTGGCGAAGTTCAAAGATCTTAAAGTACGGTCATAAAAGAGACCAACTAAACCGGGTCCACACTAACAAAACGTCTCACTTCCTTTATATACCCTCGTCTAAAATTTTCGTTTTGGAAATGGTCAAGACGATGTATCACCTCAACGCTCCGATCTCCTCCCAAATGTTCCTATGACAAAAGAAAAAAATCTCTACAAACTGTAAAATGTTTGGAATAAAATATACAACCACCCAATCTCAAGGAATGTAAAGTTCTAAAATAATGTGTATAGGGAGACACTCAAGTTTTCTATTTATTAGTAATGATTTTTACGCACTATATTTGACGTAATGTTTTGTTAGTTTTTTTTTAAAAAGTGTTAAACTGAATACAATGCTAAAATACAAGAAAGAATAAACATGCAACGTTGATTTTTAATGAAATCAGGTGGGTGTAATCAATGATTAATATCAAACTTTAAAAATATGATGTTGAAAGTGGCAAAGTAAAAAGTTTTTTGCCTAGTCGTTTTTCTAGTATATATATTGATATTAAATGTATGAAGCGATTATATTGAGATAGATTTTTTTTTTCTCAGAAAAAGTATATGAAAGTAAAAAGAAAAATAATTCCCAAAAAAATTTGTTGGTATTAAGAAAAGTCAACGTATAAAGGAAACGAAAAAAAAAAAACAGAAACGGAGGGACAAAAAAAAAAAAAAAAAACCGATATTAAATTAACATCCGTCGTAAACTTCGGAATGGATTTTGCACTAATAGTTGTGTAGCATGGTGAACAAACCCGAATTTGGATGATCGACATTGTGGCTTAGCCAATTTAATAAAAAAATTTTTTTGATTTTTTATA